TATGTAAGACGAAAAACACGAAGTACGAGACCGAAATCTACACTTCAATGATTGGGCGCTGAGACGGGATGACAATGAATAAAGGTCATATTCAATGCAAACAAACAAAGTTGACTAAATCAAGATTTATTTTAAATTCTGCGTTCAAATAGCATATATTAACATATTTTTACCAGAATATAAAATTTTTCGGGAGTTTTATGGATGTTTTAAATTTATATGTTCTTATTTTGCGTTAAATTGTAATTTCATTTATTATATAACCTGGCTTCAAATCAGGTATGCCCATTTGTAATGAGTTGTTAATATTTTTTGATTTACCTTAAGATTCTTGAGACATTGAAATGAAAATTCTATCCGATATCGCTTAAATTTCAAGTTTATTTAATTAACATTAAGTATATATATATATATATATATATATATATATTGCTTGTTTCGTATCTCGGACTAAAAATATCATTTAAAACTTAAGCTGTGTCGTTTATATATATCATGTTTAGTTTACCCTTAATCCTAATAAGGTATTGATTTTTATGCGATGTACTGCTATAAAAGCTAAAATTGTTTATACATATCAGGGGTCAATTTAATGAAACGAAAGGTAGTGCCTTAAGTTAACACACTCCATGTTATTCAACTCTCTAACCTTACCTTATTTAAAGCAAGTGAGATTTAATAATCCAAAAATATCAATATTTACAAAATAATATGTAAGAAATTTAAACTAAAATGTCTTTTCATAAATATGCTTAATTATAACCCCCAAAACGACCACACGCATAAATATTAATAGGTAAACAATATTTCATTTTCAGCTAAGGATGACTTATTTTTGATGGAAAAACTTGTTTTTTTCTATTATCTTAATCCAAGAATCAATAAACTCACCTTTTACACTTGATTTCAAGGAAGGTAGGATAGTTTATCTCCTCAATTTATAAGAAGGAAACCATTGCAATCCCTTAAGCATTGTACATATTATAATTGTTTCCAATAGTCACTTTTCGAACCAAATTTGCTGCCAAAGTCGATGCAACCTCTACAGTCAAAATTTAAATTTTATATCAAGTTTTGTGGAAGATTCAGAAATACTGTGTTTTTGTAGCGTTTTCGCGTCATATATCCATTAATATCATAATATGACGACAGTGTAATTTTCACTAGTATATTCCCATCTATTCTTTGACAAAGAGGCTTATTCATCCTATTTTTAGACAGCGCTTAAACGTTAAATCGCGTTTAAAAGTAATACTTAAACTGCTTATTTTAGTAGCTTTAACAGTTTCATCGCGAATTCTTTCAGTTGCACAGTAATTTTGGTAAATTTTAAATGCGCTCCATGAATTAGCATAACTTTGCTGGTTGCAATGTAAATATTTCACTTAATCTTGTAATTTAAATTGACAAGCGTCATTTGAAAACATACTGAATTTATTATTATCAATGCATTCTTCGATGGATATTTAACTCCATACACTCATTTGAGTGTGCTGTCGACTAAGGATAACATCATTTATCCGTAAAATATGTTAAGATAATGTCATTAATTTGAAACATTTTACGGCAAATTTCTACCAGCATATTAAAACTATTTACACTATGCGATAAAACGAATTTTCCAGCAAAGTTATATTTATTGTAAAATTGGTGTCATTATTATTTTACTATCATTAAAACGACATTTATTAGATACATTTCTGCACCTTTTTATAAACAAATTTAGTTTCGAAAGGCTTAAATAATCAACTTCTATCGATAAAGTCATGAAGACAATAAATGTGAAGATAATAGATAAGAATCTCGTCATTGATTTGCCGCCTAATAATAAGTCAGTTAATCTTCCATTATGTCGGGAAATTATTTGGTCACTTTCAAGAGCACTTAATTTTAATATCTTTTAATGTGTCTCTTCCTTAATTAGGTCTAAATCTCCAGCAATTTCATATTCTTATAAATTATAATTTAAATTTTCAATTAATTTGGGATGTGATAGGTAACTTATTACTCTGAATCTATTACTATATTCTTAAAGATTGGTTTCATTAATCATCGTTTTTAATTTTGTTTGTAGCCTGCTGAAGTTTACGTGTCCTCATTTTGTCCTTTTAACGACTAAACCAAACTATTTATTTAAGCATTAACCATTATTACCTCTATATACCGCTCAATCTTGTCGAGTTTGGAGAAAGTCGATTACCTAATGGGCGTATGTGTTTACCGTATTTCTTTATACGAACATTGTCTATTGAGCGAATCTTCTGTACCGAATACTCAAGCACCGCAAACTTTAAACGACATCTTTACGTGATCGCACGAAATGTTAATGGAGGACATCGAAGATTTATCTAGCTTACAAATGCAATATCTGGTTTCGCGTTCAATTAAAATGTTGCATAGTTTAAAGACAAATTCTCTAATCAAACTGTATTGTTCTGCAGATTTACAAACCAAATAATAAATAAATGTAAATAAAATAGAATCCCAATTGAAGTGACATTGTATTTAATTATATTTCAATACATAAATTGCATTTGTACGTTAGCCTAAAGTAATGTCTCTTGCCTGACGCAGAAAGTACTAAACAGATCAATTAGGGTGCCAACTAAACTTTTAAAATGTCGCAAGATTAATGCATACACGCTTAAGTTATATGTAAGGACACCCATATGTTCATATATATTTTGTGAATTGTAAGACTACTAATTTGAAAAGGGCTTGTCTTGTAAATGCCTATTGATACACAAAGACAGAGAAAAGGTAAGATGAGTACTGCGAAAGAGGTCGAATATGACATACAATCGGGTCATGCTAGTTTGAAGTCGGAAGTCGACTGCCGGTTTATAGACCATTTCGCAGTATGAGTATACGTTTTCCAAGGTGCACCACGTGGAGATAAGTCTATCGCACACCCCGAAACCCAAGTATTTAATCATAAATATTGAAACTCTGAATATTTGATCAGTAAAAGTGATTCACACCTCAAAGGAGAAAGAGTACATTTCAGTGGTTTCAGAATTCCAGTTACTTAAGTTTCTCACTCTTCTACTTTCGTTATATAAGCCCTGGGATTTAATTGGCTGATAATTTATTTATTTATTTCAAATGGCAGGCGTTTTGATATTTATCATTAGCCCTTTAGCTGACTTCGGACTTCACAGGGGGAGGAACATCAAAGTAACAGAAAATCGAGGGGTGGGGAACAGAAGAGTGATTTAAAGATGTAAAGAGACAGACATGAAGGCAGAGAAAAGGTAGGATGAGTACTGTGCCAGAAGTCAATCGCCAGTTAATAGACTTTTTTGCCGTATGAGTATACGTTGCCCAGGGAGCACCACGTGGAGGTAAGTCTATCACGCACCCCAAAGGCAAAGCTAGCGCCCCCGGGTGGGCTTGAACCACCAACCTTTCGGTTAACAGCCGAACGCGCTAACCGATTGCGCCACGGAGGCAGCAATTGGCTGATAATTATTGGTCCTTACGTTTCTTGAATCGGATTGGTTTATTACCCAAGACGAATGCTATTGGTTGCCTTAATCAATAAATATCAGGCTATTTCTGCTTCCGCTTAAGTCTTTTGTGGTACGTACAAGATAACAGTGATGAGCAAAACCGAAAAAACTTTTGATGTTGAGGCGGATGGTGTCGATCCCTCACCCAAGGATAGATTCAGACTTATATATATCATTTTCTTTTTCATTGGTATCGGTACCCTTTTGCCATGGAATTTCTTCATTACTGCCAATCAATACTTCCAATACCAACTCCGAAATCAGAGTCTACCGACAGGTGTTGACGCCCTTCTTCCACAGTACAGAACTGAGCTTCAAAAGGTTTTCTCAACTTACCTTATCATTTCATCAGTGGTTCCCGCAACACTTGGAAATTTTCTCAATCTTATGATTAAAGATTGGCTCCCGGTTTATCCTCGTTTGATTGGATCCTCAGCTATCATGCTAATCATCTTTATAATCACCGTTACATTTACGAAAGTGGCTATTGACACACACATCTTCTTTGTTGTAACTCTGGCCACTGTTGCAATCAATAATGGTAGGTGATCTTGCTATTGATTTACCAAAACCATCCATTTTTAGTTGCAAGCGCCATCAATCAGGGCAGTACCTACGGTATCCTTTCTGTTCTACCGGGAAGCAATGTACGAGGTTTTCTTGAGGGTCAAGCGGTCGCTGGTATCATAGCCGCTGTCGCCAGTATAATCACAATTGCCGCTGCTAGCAGTCCAACAGGAGTCGGTTTCGCGTACTTCCTTATTGCTGTAGCTATCATCGCTCTTACAATCTTCCTCTTTATTGTGCTCTTCAAAAATCCATACTTCCAGCACTACTGGAGTAGGCGTAATGTAGCTATGCATGATGATGCATCCCAAGGCAATAAAATCAAGAAAACCTTCGTCAACCTCTTTCTTGCAATGAATGATGTGAAATGGACCGGTATCACCTCCTTCTTCATATTTGCCTGCACACTAGCCATCTTCCCGAGTGTGTTTATTCTTCTAGTTCCTGCTAATTTCGATGCAGACAGTGCTTGGCACAGTAAGTCTATTGCAATACCCCCCCCCCCCAA